TGTTCCAGATTTTGGGGATAATAATAGTTGTTGAGTTTTTAGAAATTGAATTGGTTTTTATTAATGAGTTTAAGTCTTCCGCATTACTTTCTGTTGATATTATATTGAAATGTTAAGGTTTAGATTGGTTGGTTCGCTCACATAGGAGGGCAAGTGTGGGTGCCAGTCACGGCCCGATTTGGATCGTGACAACCTCGCTCCATCATATTTAAGTATTGTGTCCTAATTGTTATCCTCAATGGTACCACAATAGGTTAAATAATTTCCAAAAACTAATGCACTTGGTGATAAAGCAACAAATAAATGTTTCTTTTTCTTGGGACATGAACTCTTTTAAAACTATAAATTATCATTAAATGACTACACTGCCCTAAAAAAATATTCACCATTAATAACAACCAAAAGAGTACACCATTATATGGGCGTGGGGTTTTATTTAAATATAGTATATTTAACAATAATTAATATTGTCTCGTAATATTAATGGCCAACATAATGAATGACAAAATAAACCTTTAACTTCCTCAAATATAATAAATAAATGTATGCTTTTACTAAACGTGATCACTACAATCTTTTTTCCATTATTTTTCTAGGAGGCCACCCTTTTTGAACAAAGAAATACTAATAATAGTAATAATAATTAATTCATCAAAGAAAAAAGATGGAGAGTTTTAATTAATCAAAGAAAGAAGATGGAGAGTTTTAATTATTTTCATTATTACAAAAGAAAAGGGTTGATTTTAGTTTGTGGAATTTGCACAAATCAATAAATAAACTAATAATTTGGAGTGTTGTAAATAGTAATTCACAGTTATAGAAAATCAATTTTTTGCAAGTGTATTTAAGTCATGCACGTCTATTTAAAGAATTTATAGTCAAATTCATACAGGAATAGTTCTTTATTTTTTTTTTAAAGTAAAAAGGATTTCAAACTACAATTAGTAAAGATATTGTTATTATTTCCTAGAGTGGAAAATAGTGACAAATCGTTTGTTAATTATGTCTTAAATTTTTCTTAATATATTTTAGGAAACTCATAACCCTACGAAACTATTTATCCTAATAGATTTGAAAAAGAAATACACTATCCTATTTTAAAGCATTGTAAATATCTCTTTATTTTTTTTTTTAACGTAGACAACTCTCTATTTTTACTATGAAAATTAAGTAAAGCTGAACTGCATTAAATCTTTGTGTTATTTTTAAGCTTTTATGTTATTATAAAGATTTTGATTTTCCGCCTTACGTACCATACCCCAAATTTATTTTATTTTTAAAAAATAAAACCTTTGACATTACTCACTCTTAAGTGGGGCATACCAATAATTAGTTTAATTATCTTAGTGGTACTTTTTCAACAACTTTTCTTGAAATACTCACTATATATATACAATTAAGTATCTTTAAAGGTATCTTCTATCACAAACTCAATTTTTATTCTCTCTAAAGCTTTCTCAATGGCAAGAATTTACCCTCAAACATCATCATCTTCTTCTTGTTCTTCAATTTGTATGACTAAATATGTGACAACAAAAAGAGAAACATTTACTTTATGGATGAAATCACTTGTATTCCATGGAAATGGATGTGCTGTTTTTGACTCAAAAGGTCAACTTGTTTATAGAATAGACAATTATAGCAAAAAATGTAGCAAACAAGTTCATCTCATGGATCTTCATGGAACAATTCTCTTTTCTCTTCGTAAAAAGGTAAGGTGATAAACATCAGTATGATAAACTGCGTGACAATTTCATTTAAAAACTTAAGTTCAACGTCAGTGGGATTATCTATACTTTTATTTATTCAATTATATTTTTGAACACGCACCGTCATGTGTGGTCAAAGACACTTGTAATTTTTTGCTTATTAGTTGAATGATTTCTAATTATTATTTCTTTTTCCAGAAATTGTCAATTTTTGGACATTGGAATGGCTATAAGATGGATGAGGAGACACCATATTTTCAAGTGAAAAAAATTGGCAATTTATTCATAGGAGATTTAAATTATGGTGTTATTTTTGGATGTGATACAAATAACTATAGGATTATTGCTTTAAGAGGCAAATTAGGCTTCAAGATTATCAACAAAGAAAACAGACTTATTGCTGAGGTTTGTTATTTTATTTTATTTTATTTGTGTAATTTATTACAGTAATGTTAATACTATAGTATAATTGACTTTTGATTTTATTTATTTATTTGTTTTAGGTTAAACAAAAGCAATCATCATCAGCAGTTAAGTTTGGGGATGATGTATTAAGTCTAGTGGTGGAGCCTTACGTTGATCATTCACTTGTCATGGCTCTTGTCACTGTTTATGGTTTAATTCGACATATGTTGTAAATATATAAAAAAAATTTCACGTGATGTTTGATATTGATATCGTATTATATATTTTTTACTTATCTATTTACTTTATTTATTTCTTTTTTTGCTTAAAAAAAGTGTGAAATTCATTATGGATAAGTAAAAGTGATTGGATGGAGTATAAGATCAAAGTGAAAACGTTTTCAAGACAAAACAAAAAAATTAGCGATTGTGTAAGTAAATTTTTTTAATGAGTTATTCGGATGGTAAGTAGTTCTCACTTTCAACTTTAAAATTATTAGTTTGAGTCACTAAGAAAGCAAAAAAGTAGAAGCTCTTAGGAAAAGATTAAAAAGATATATTTCCTCTCTCCTATTTTACGTGACACTTTTCGTTTTTCGAGAGTTAATCCATTTAACTTTGATCGGATATTTGCGTATGGAATCTTTAATTTTTTTGAAAGAAAATTTATATATTTGTAAACTATGTAAAGAGTACTGTTGTGCGGAATTTGAGATAATACGAGAAAATATAAACGCGAAAAACAAGACAACAGATTTACGTGGTTCACCAATAAATTGGCTACGTCCACGGGAAGAGAGGGAGCAGTTTTATTATGGAGAGGCAAAAACAGAATTACAGAATAGGATTTCCCATAGCGTCTATATATAGTGTTAAGCGAGACCCCCGTCCTTTCTGTTTGTAGCGGGTCCGATTCAAGGCATTCAACAAGTACTATGAGTTACAATAAATGATAATTCAAAATGTTAAAAGGATCTATGACAAACTTACGATTACAAATAGACTTATTTGAATTTTAAAATACGAAAAGTGTCACATAAAAATGAGATGGAGAGAGTAATATTTTTTTTTAAAAATATATAAATACTCTTCAATAAGATTAAGTTACATAGTATACATATATATTAATGTATTTTAGTTTATGTAAAAAAAAAATAGAATCATCTTTTTTTTGGTTATCTATTAGGTAATATTTGTATACAAAATTATTTATAATTTTCTTTTAAGTAATCTGATAACGTTTATTAGCGCCAAATAAATACTAGTCCTAACAATAAATCTCACAAAAGAATCTCAAAACATATATATTCATTCATGATTCATGAAATAATATGGAGTTGGCAAATTGGAAGGTTTATGACAATGAATTGTTACTTGCCATAATTAATAATCATTCACATATCACAGATCAGCAAATCAGAAATATATATGATCCTTAATTTTATTATTATTATTTTTTTAGAGAAAGTTGGTCCAAAATTTTGTCACCAATAACTAAATTGCATGTCATGCGGACAATATATGTTCTAAGCAAAAATAATATATATTAAATTTTGTTGAAAAATGGATTTGATTCACATTGCCAAATCATGTTGAACAAGATGTGAAGTCAAATATTTAAAATTTGAAAACTTTAACTCTTTTTTAAGTCTATATTTTTATTTTTATTTTATTTTTAATTCAAAATTTGATATTCATATTGATAATTTGATTAATTCAAATTGAAGCTACGTGAGGTTTTTTCTTTTGTACTTTTCATTCATGGCAATCACAAATGTATGTACTTGACGATATTAATATTGCTTGCTTTGATAGTGTTTTTTTAATTTTGTTATTTCAGTGTTTAAAAATTTATCATGATTTATTATTAAATTTGTCATCAATAATTATTATTTTTGTATTATAATTGATCAACGGCACTCGATCATTTTTATATAGATCATTAAAAATGATTAAAAGAAGGGAAAATTATATATAATAGCAAATTAATAACATAAAATAAATGGAGTGACTATGGTTTGATTTAATTGTGCTCCATAGCAAACATTTGCAAAAAATTGCCAGACGCCTCTCTACGAAATATCTCGCTCGCCACTCTCCTCCAATCTCTCGCTCGCTTCTTCACTTTTTATACAAACACAAGTGTATAAAAATTGTTTCTAATTGTATAAAACAGAGAAAATTGTATAATTACATATATTTTTGTTCCCCTCTCTCCCCTCTTCTAGATCTCGCCGCCACTCTCCCAAATCTCGCTCGCCACCCTAGCCTTTCTCACTTATACAAATAGAAGCGAAATGTATAAATTGCGTTTCTGTTTGTATAAAAGTGAGAAAATTGTATATCTATACACTTATAATTATACAATAAAAATACTTCCCTGCCCAGTTTCTTTTGCCTTTCTCTCTTTCTCGTTTTATACAATTTTCAAATTGTATCTAATTTCTCTCTTTCTCGTTTTATACAATTCGATTCAATTGTATATTCCTTGTCAAGTCTGTTTTGTCTCTCTCTCTCTCTCATTTTATACAAATTTCAAATTTTATATAATCGCTCTATACATTTATAATAATACAATTCGTTTTATACACTTCGTTTTTATACAGTTCTCTGCCCAAGTGTCTTTCTCTTTCTTGTTTTATACACTTCGTTTTATACAATTTGCTTCAATTGTATATATATAGCGAATTATACAGTTTCTATGTTTGCTATGAAACACAATTATGCAAACTTTGCTATAGTATACAAATATAAATTTTTTATTTGCCATAGGTGAAAATTGCCATTAAAAGAACTCATAAAACTATACTTGTATATGTTTTGCTTTCTTTGAGTAAGTCCAATGGACTGGTATTTGATATATGTTCATACATTATAGTATTTGTTCATAACATTATAGTAGTGGTTGAATAATAACTTCGCATTTTCAACAAAAAAAAAAAGGAAAAAGAGAAAGGAAAATCTACGCAACAAAAGAAATATAAGTCATATTTACTCCTTAAAATTCCATTTTAAAATAATTACCTAAAAGCTACAATTATACACAATTTCCTATTTCACACATAATTAGAGATTGTATTTGATTTAAGAAAATTATATCACTACTATTTGTATTTCTCTTCCACGTCATGACTTTATCAGTTTAAAATTTTGAATTAACAATAAGTGTATATACATATTTTTTCTTTTAACGACAAAATTCTCGCTGAAGTGAAGTCTTCCAAACATAAAATATCAAAAATGTATGTGATTTCTTTAATGTATTCATTGTATCATGACGTTGTGTATCAAAAAGGTATCATGATACAATATCTATCGAAAAGATATTTCGATCCAATATCTATCGTAATACATCATATATTGAAAAGGTACGATAATACCATCAATTACATAACTTAATGTTATTGTTTTTTAAGTTTCAAATCTCGAAATTTCATATCAAAACTTAATATATTAATACATCGTAACAATAGACTAACTCCAATACTTCAATCCACCACTCGAATGATAAGTTGCTCTGTTTCTATCAATTTGAATTGGGCGCCAAAAAGTTTAGTTATTTATAACTTGCTCTGTTTTCTATCAATAGCCATAATTGTCAACAAAGAAGAAGAAGAAGAAGAAAAAGAAAGCTCTGTTCTCCCATGGCTCCCAAGAAAAGAGTAAAGAAGAAGTCATTCGCCATTGTTAATCGAAGAACTTCTCTAAGAATGAGGGCTGAACCTGGTCCTCCTCACTCACCTGAAACACACACTTCTGATAGCGGCGGTGGTGCATCTTCTTCAATGGATTCTGTGAAAAGGGAAAATGTGGAGTCTCCTGCCATTGTTACTGAAAGCTCAACTGGGAAACGTCGAAAAGTGAAATCGGAGCCTTCTACTGATCAGATCGGTTCAGTTAAACGGGAAAATGTGGAGTCTGCCGCCATTGTTACTGGAAGTTCTACTAGGCAACTACGAACAGTGAAATTGGAGCATTCTTCTTCACGTGAAATTGGACCAGTCGATTCCAAGAACGCCATTGTTACCCAAAGCTCTACTGGGAAACTTCGAGCAGTGAAATCAGAGCCTTCTTCTCCAGGCCAAATTGGATCAGTTGATTCCAAGAACGCTAGGCAACTTCGAACAGTGAAATTCGAGCCTTCTACTTCAGGTGTTACTGGACCAGTCGATTCCAAGAGAGAACTTCGAACAGTGAAATCAGAGCCTTCTTCTCCAGGCCAAATTGGATCAATTGATTCCAAGAACGCCATTGTTACTGGTAGCTCTACTGGGAAGCTTCGAAAAGTGAAATCGCAGCCTTCTGATCAGATTGAATCAATCAATTCCAAGAAAAGGGAAAATGTGGACACCAAAAGAACAGTTAAGGAAGTAAGTCCAACTTCCGGTGTTCTTACTCGCCGGGGCAAAGCCAAAATGGAGTCTGATACGCCCAAGAAAGAGGGAAATGGGAAGAATACTCGAGCAAAGGTCACTTTCTCCTGATATCACTGCAAATATCACTCAATTCAATCTTGATTCTTAGGGTGTATTGTTTGGTAAAATTGATTCTTTTCTCTGTTGAATTTCATTCATCTTCTGTAAAATTCATATCGGAATCAAAAACTAATACTACTGTTAATGAAAAATGGAAAGCTTTGATTTGATTCAACTTCATCTTTCTGTTACTCTGTTTTGGGTTTTGCATGCTCTGTTTTTTGTTATTTTGCAGTCATGTAGCTCGTCTTGTCAATTTCACACTCTTGTTTCGTTTGTATATTTCGTATCGTTTAGTCTGTTTTAAAACGAATGTTTTTTTTCGTTTTTTGAAAAGATACGAAAGATGTTACTCGTGTAAATTAGAAGTGAACTAACAAATATGAAGCAAGACTTACGTTTAACTTTTTTTTTACATGTTTAAGATCATAAGATTAAAAGGTATTTCGATACGTTGATATATCCTTAATTTGATTTACGAGCATATGATTCAAAAATTTTATTTATAGTAGATGATGCATGATATTCCATTCGTTTCAAAACAAGTGATGTTTTTATTTTTATTTCAAATAAATGTTGTTTCAACTTTCACATAATCAACACGAAAATATTGACGTTCTTTTAATTTTTTACCCTTATTTAAATAAATAGAATATTACATGAACTAACAAACTACTCTCTATTTCATATTACCATGATCTTCTTGACCCGACACAACTCTTAAGTAAATTTTGACTAGATGAATATTTCATTAAAGTAACATTTATGAAGCTTTG